ATGAGAGCTACCTTCCAGCTGTCAGCCAGCAAGAAAAACTGGGACCCTGGATATATAACCCCAAGAAACTGAATTCTTCCAACAACCTGAATTAGCTTAGAAGAGTACTCCAAACTTCAAATGCTGCCATAGCCCCAGCTGATTGCCTAAATTTCAGCCTTGTGAGACCCTCCAGTAGCAAGCCTAGCTGAGCTGTGCGTGGACTTCTGACATACAGAACTGTGAAATAATAAATGCATTGCTCTAAGTTTGTGGTAAGTTATTATGCAGCAATAGCAAATGAATACAGATATTCCCGTGATGGTTCTCCCGTGGTGATATCCCATAATGTTTACAGGTTCTGTCCACTCAAGGCCCTGATGGGAATTATACAGTGTGTACACCAAGAGGTTGTAGTATAGTGATTTTCACTGCATTTCCCAATTTTCCTCAGTCCCTACTCTTTTTTGTTTAACTACAGAGAGTGAGAGACCTCTGGATAGTAGTGGTGTATTGATGGTTTTTAAATCATTTTTGACTATTTCTGCTAAGTTTAAATTTTCTCAATTGGTTTATATTATTTGAAAATTCATTTTACAGCTTTGGATGAGCAGAAGGAAATAATTTACTTAAGCATGAAAACCGGTTGAGAGAAAAACTAATGTGTGTGGAAGGAATCCCAGGGGTCTGCAGTGATTCATTCATTCAGTAACCGTGATGCCTTTAGTTCTTTCATTAATACACTCAGAAGAAAAGTATGGACAGTGAGCTATAGTAGAAGATGATCATTCTCTCTTTTTTTTAAAATTAATTTATTTTTTATTGTTAGTTTCAGGTGTACAGAACATTGCAATAGTTATCCTTTGATGATCATTCTCTTTATTATATTGTTTAGACCTTCCAAATGCTCTCCTGGGAAACAAAGATGGCACATCTTTCTAATCACCTTTATAAACTAAGTAAGCAGAAGGAAACATTTGCTAGTTGAAAAGAAAAAAGGAAAATAAATACAATGACTTAGTCAAATTTCAACAGCAACCCACCTAATTTGGGGCACACTATGGTTTATAACACTGAAAATAATTATTTGAAAATACAATGAACTATTTCTTGAAATAAAAACATATATATAAAATGGCATATGTGTAGCTCTGATTATGAACTGTGACCAAACTAACATTTTAAAAATGAGTAAACCATTTCCTTGATTTTGAAAATTTCACAGTATGTTTGATAGATGTTTCAATTCCATCAAATGGAATTGATATTGGATTTACTAACATTAGGCTTAGCTTCCCCCTCAGGATAAGACTGTACCTTAACTCTTTTGAAGGCAATAATACAGTAAGTAAATCCAAGATTCCAAAGCAAATGTTAGCCACACTATTTCATCTCTTAGGCTGATGCATCATGGATCCCTGAACTTGTGTGACTCACTTAGCTATGAGAATGAACAACAGAGGGGCTGTCCTCAGCTTGCTCATGAACAGGATTTTCACTAAAGCTATGAGGACAATAATGTACAGGCTCTTTTCACTATTTCTCTCAAGGCAGAAATTAAAAGCATGTGGTGACATCTAGTTGAAGCATTTTCTTAACTTCACTTGGAATATGCTTCCCCCTCATCTTTTATAGAAACAGAAAAAAATTAAAGATTTTTGAAAAAACTTTTGACAGAGGTTTTTTAAGCTTTGATGTACACTTTTAATGTTGCCTCCAACAGCTGTTGTGCAAACCACTGAGTAACGACAGCATGGTTGAACCACTTGACTCCCCCATTTCCAGGAAGAACAACTGTTTTTATTCTCATATTTCTGACCCATTGGTTTGCTAGCTAGCCAACTAAATTTTTTTTATTTTAAATTCCTCTCAACTTAATATGTTCAGTGATGAGCAAGCAGGTAACAGGAACAATTAGTCAATGCTTTGCTTTATTTTTCTGACATATAATTAAGAAAAATTGAAGACATTCAAAAGCTTTTATTGCTCTATTCACTTTTTGGTTCCATAGCCATATAAAATGGCCATGGATCTCAGCCATTCATAAAAATCTCCTCTTACACCGTATTCACTTTCAAAATAAGCATGTATTTTATTTTTTCCAGGTTTGCTATGGTATCCTTGACAAATAAAAATTGTATATACTTAAGGTGTTCAACATGATGGCTTGATAATACGTATACATTGTGAAATAATTACCATAATCAAGCTAATTAACAACTCCATCATGTCACATACTTACCTTTTTAAAAAATTTTTTTTGGTTTGGTGAGAACACTTAAGATCTACTCTAAATTATTCAATACAGTGTTATTAATTATAGTCACCATATAATTATAGTCACCATACATTAGATCCCCAGAACTTACTCATCTTATGACTGAAAGTTTATCCTCTTTGACCAAACTGTTTCCATACTCCTTCAAAGTTTGTACTATTCCACTGCAGGAATGGACACATAGGAACGGCTTTTTAATCATTCAAATTCTGGTCTCAATAGTCAATATGGAGGCAACAGCTTCCATATTAATCTCCAAAATTAATGCTCTTTCTTTGCTCTTATGAAATTAGAAAAAAAATCATCGTATGAAATACTCTTACCTAAAACAATAAATTAATTCAATAAATATTTATTGATTGTTTTCTATGGTCCAGGCAGTTATAAAAGCAACAGATATATCCGTATATCCGAAGTCCATGTTCTCAAGGAGCTTGTTCTCAGGAGAAAGTCTATTCAGATGGAGATGCTAATATACAAATAAGTAAGAAAATCTCAGGTAGTGACAAGTATTAAAGAAACAAAAACTATGTATTGTGATAGATTCCTTTGGCTGAGAAGCTTTAACAACACTCAAGCTCAAAAAAAACCCCCCAAAACCAAAAACCACCAGTGTATAGTCTCAGGAATGACTAGAATGTACTATAACTTAAAGAAACCAAAACCCTAAACTGAATCAAGTTTTTTGTTTGTTTCTATGGTTTATTTTTGTTATTTTTTAAATTTTATTTTTTTTCAATTAGTTGACAGTCAATATTATAGTAGTTTCAGATATAAAACATAGTGGTTAGACACTTATATAACTTCCGAAGTGACCCCCGATTAGTACCCACTTAGCATCATAAATAGTTATTACATTATTGACTATATTCCCTACACTGTACTTTACATCCCCTTGACTATTTTGTAACTGCCAATGTGTATGTACTTTGTAACCCCTTTAATCTTTTTCACCCATCTAATAACCATCAGTTTGTTCTCTGTATCTATGAGTCTGTTTATTCGTTCATTTTCTAGATTCCATATACTAAGTGAAACCACGTTATCTTTCTCTGACTAGGATGGCTATCATAATAAATGGAAAATAACAGGTGTTGGTGAGGATGTGGAGAAATTGGAATCCTGTACATTGCTGATGGGAATATAAGTAGTACAGCCACTAACAGTTTGGTAGTTCCCCAAAAAGTTACACATAGAATTAAAATATTACACAGCAATTCCACCCCTGGGTGAATATCCAAAAGAATTGAAAACAGGTACTCAAACACATGTACACGTCTGTTCATAGCTTCTTCCAAAACTGGCAAATGGCCCCAGGGAAATAGAAGCCACCAGATGTTCGGTTTCTCTCTGGCTTTCTGTCTTCCCCCAGATCTTGGGCCTATCTAGTTCTCTACCACCTTATTAGCACTGATGCCTTCGAGCAGCATTTCCCCTACACTCCCTCTATGCCGCCCCCCCCCCGAGTTTTCCTCAGACGTTTGATCTGAATTATGTGGTCTGATCTTAGCGAAAGTAGAAGTCACTTGATTTCATTTTCAATTTGGATGGAATTCTTTTTTCTTGGCTTCCTCATGTTTCTCCAGCCTCTCTGTTCCTGTTTGAGTGCTTTTCTGCCCCCTTACCTTATTGATGATTCCACTGTAGATATGCTTCTTTCTAGACATAGCTATCTTGTCTAATTATGGAGTTTCGAGTATCATTCATATGCAGACGACTAGATTTTTCTAGTTTCATCCTTAGTCCAACAGCCTGAAATACACCTCTCAAACTGCACTTCTTGGGATTACTTGAAAATGACATCGCTGTGTATTTGTGCATGCTACCCATCCTTTCTATTCTTCTGCTTGGGATGCTATTACCTGCCTTGTCCACCTGGCAAACTCTTATCAAATCTTAAGATTCAGTGCAAGTGTCCACTCAAGTTTTTTCTGGTTCCCCAGAAATAGGTGCCTTGTCTGTGTTCCTATAGTATCCCAACAATTAGTAATAATATTATGTATGTTAATAAACTAGTAATTTTTTAAAGTTCTGTTGCACTATTTTTATTTAACTATTTTGAGCACTGTTCAAAATGCTTCCCCTATATTATTTAATCATAACAATCACTATGAATTTAGTAATATTATCCACATTTTACAGATGAGGAAATTGAAATGAAGCAACTTCCCAAGATTATGCAGCTAATAAATTGCAGAGCTGGGATTTTAATTCAGGCATCTGCAATCGGTCTGTAACTTTTTATTTTTATTATATTGGGGTGACATTAGTAAAATTATATAGATTTCAAGTGTACATTTCTATAATACATCATCTATATACTGCATTGTGTTGTGTTTACCACCCTGTCAGTTCTTCCATCACCATATATTTTATCCCCCTACCCTCTGGTAACCACTAAACTATTGTCTATGTCTGAGTTTTTGTCTTGTTTTTATTGTTGCTTTTAGTTTTATATCCCACATGAAATTACAGTTCTCGACTTTTTGTCTTGACTTATTTCGCTTAGCATAATCTCTAAATGCTGCAACAGTAGTAAAGTTCTAATCTAAATTAAGCACTCTATTGATACTTGCCTAGGTGTCAAGCTATTTAAAGTCCTTTTAGGTTTAGATAGATTAACAAATGAATAAATGAGCCAAATTTCTAACCTCCCGCCAGGTACTGCATTATGCAGAATTATCCAAACATTAAAAAAATAAAATAAAGGACATACATACTAGAAAACCAACTTGGTACACAATTTAAAGAGAAAAATTTTTATTGCAATATAAAATGCACTTATAAAATGTCCACAGAAGGCATGTAATTCTTCACTGCTATATAAATTTATTGGGAATACTTTATTTACCTTCTATTGTTATGATGCCACCTAAAACATACTGTAAACGATGAGTTATACTCTATAACAAATGCATCACTGATCTTCAACAATCATTGGATTAATAATTAGTTTAGGACTATATAATCACATCTATATTCTGGAATGTCCATTTACTTTCATGTAGTGTAGTGGAATTTAGAGTATAATTGCACATGGATGGTACAGAAAAACATTCACTACTAAATTATTTTATACCTTCATGACAGGTTAACATTCTTCCTGACTAAAAATAACATCTTCAGCTATGATCTGCACCACAGCTCCAGGATTCTTAATGCAATAATTTGTGTATGTGTGTCTACGTGTGCACCCATGAACAACTTAAAGTATTTATTTCCTTTAGTAAACAAGTGCAACTCACTGTTGATTATTTTGCATGTTTAAATATTATAGTCTGATTATTTGTAAACAAACAAAACCCCACACAAATACTCTTAATTCTAGAAAAAAAAATCTGTCAACCCATAATTATTCTAATATGCTTTACTTGAACACATTGACTTTCTGAAAGGTGCATATATTACCTTACATAATAAGGTGTAAAATGAGTTTTCATATTTTATACTATGAAATGTGCATTTCTGATATTTGTTTTATGCAGCATAAAGTTTAGATCAAACGATTCTAAATCCTGGATCCCCACAGTTCATTTAGAAAACACCTCCAACTTATGGCTCTCGCAGCAGGTTTAACAGATCAAACATGAAGTGTTCTAGCTCCCTCTATTTCAAGTATCAAAGACAAATGAGGCTCAAAAAATCTCTGTAGATTGTAGCTGAAAATGCAAAGCTTTAGAAAACAGTTAAATGTGTTTTGAAATAAGATTCTTAAGTGTTTATCTGTATTAGGTTGATAAGTACTAGGGCTTTAATAAAACAATTTTATTAAATCTGAGTATTTGCTCAAAAGTGATAAAGAACACAATTTGCTATAAATGGATGGTTTTGTAGAGAAATCAAACTTCCTGTTTAAAACATTTTCAACATTGTTGACTTTAGTTTTATTTGCTTTTGAATATTAATTTAATATTCAACTGAATGTAAATATTTGGCCTCACTATTAATAATAAAGAGACTTTTGAAATAGGAATTTTTTAAAGCACTGGAAAGAGAATTTACTAAATAAATGTGTCTTTCATTGTCATCAGAAATCCTTCAATAAAGATCTTGTACCCTTTAAGGTTTCAGAGTGAGCTGATCTTCTGAAATTTTAATGCCATTTAAAAACCAAAGTCAAATAGAAGACTGCTGCAACAAAGCACTGTTTCTAAAAGCTGTAGACATGATCCCATAGTCTGACATTAGCAGTGCTCCTCAGAGTAAGCTTCTTTCCACCTCTTCTTAGGCACACTAAGTTTTCCCCTTAGAAAATAATTTAACCTGGTCCTTAACATATTCATTAAGTACAATGAATATTTTAAGGTCTTTCTCTCGCCCTAAAAGGAAAAAAAATGGTGTCTCACTAAAGAGTAATAAGAATATCTTACTTTTAGATATTAGACTTTCTGGAATTGGCCCAACTGTATAAAACTTTAAGAATTATATGAAAGTGTGGAATCATCACTCTATGAAAACAGTGTGACAAAATTAAACATCACTATGTTGAAACCTTTTCTAGCTTTAACTCAAAATTAGAAATCATGAGACTTCTATAGCATTAATTTTAAAAACACACAGAAGTGAAAAGTGCTATTATTCAAAAAGTACATTTTTTCCCCCTACTATATATCAACATGGAATGATTTCAGTTCTCCTGTACTAAAAGTTGGACTTTTAAAAAACTAGTATTGTTATACTTAATATAATGATATTAATCAGTAGTGGCTTCAGTTTCAGCTGGACCCCTAATTAGTCTTCGAATTCCTCTCTTTCCTGCAGGACCTTTCGGTTTTGCAAAACTTTGCTTATGTGCATGCTGCTTGGGGTGTACTTCTTCATAAAGGAAGTCTGCTGTCAACTCATCCCCATTGTCTATCTCAATCTGTAAGAGATGAAATTAGTAAAGTGTAACCCAATATGAAAAAGTACAACATTCAAAACCTAATACAAGCAATGAGTCAATTTTCAAGTGTGAATGCTCAGAAATAAACACATAATACCCATTCCGGCAAGAGAGAATCAAAGACCATATGTAAATAGTTTCACTTTCATCTTTTTGGAGGGGTGGCAGGGGGAGTTAAATGAATTGCTTTAATATACAATCAGACATAATTTCTTTTTTGTTTCCCTCTTTCTTTTCCAATTTAACTAATACTTAAAAGTAGATGCCACCACTATAATAGCTGTATTCTCAAGTTGTTCTGCTTTGATATACTGTATTGAAGAAACATTACTCATGGCCCCTTCATCACTTGGGACACTTAAAAATCATCTAGAACGGGGTTGGCAAACTTTGTCCTGCATACCAAATCTAGCTCAAGTTAAAAGAATGTGGTTTACATTTTTAAAGGGTTGTAAAAACAAGATAAAATAATAAAACAAGAATAAGTGACAAAGATCATGTGGCCTGGCAAAACCTAAAATATTTATTATCTGGTTCTCTTGTAGAAAAAGTGAGCCAGCCCCTGCTATAAAAGGTGAATCTTAAGAACTTAAAAAGTGTGAAGGGTTCAGTAGTTAAAACACTGGTAGTTAGTAAGGACCTGTGTTTTAAGAATTGAAGGGCTCAAGAATAAACCATACCCATGCCTCACATGCATTTAAAAAACTAAATTTAAGAAAATTGGTAGCTTAGCTCCCAAAATGCAAATGTTCATACCCATTTCCTCCTTTCCCAACAACCGGAAAGATTCTCAACCATCACATGATTCAGTTATAAATAGAGACTGTAGTTCTTTATTAATAACAAGTCTTGAGATAATCACAAGTGTGTAGCTCTAGCAGAACTGTCCAACAGAACTTTCTACAATATGGAAACGTTCTCTAAATTCTGCACTGTCAAATATAGTAGCCACTAGCCACATGTGGCTAATGAGCACTAAAAATGTGGCTAGTGAGATTAAGGAACTGAACTTTAAATTTTATTTAATTTTAATTTATACTTAAATTTAAATAGCCACATGTAGCTTGTGGCTATGTATTAGAGACTACAGATCTATAGGGAGACTGAGGTCAAGATAAGTCATCCCCAAGTACTTAAGAGTGGAGGAGATCCTAAGGATTTATGATGAGAACAAGAAAAAAAATACTTTCATTTATAAATCACAATATATCATGAACTACACAGAAAAGACAATAAAAATCTAGCAAAACTGAAAAGCTGTAAATAGATAGGTATTAGATAAATAGGTAGGTAATTACCTTTCTAATGACATCCATTTGTAGTTGTCTTTCTACAATATCTAGCAGAGGGCTCTTGCAGCTAGAATACAGCATCCGTTCTCTTATACTGCATGTGTATCCAGGCATTGAATAAATAAAAACTGTAAGTTAAAAAATAGTAATAATAAGTACAATTAGCAGCACATCAATTAAAGCAAATACTAAACTTCATAAAACAACATCTAAGCCTTCTGGATAAGAAATAAGTAAGAATACGTGCTGAAATATCAATAAGCAAACTGAAAGTAACATGTTAAAAACAAATGTGTCATATACCTATGGACTCCAAATAGTCTCCTTCATGGGAATGTTTATACAGAAAGAAATGGTAACGTGCTGAATCCTTGGGAATCCTCTTTGGCAAATCTTTTAGTTCTGTATTTGCTGTGTTGGCCAAAATTATAATTTCATTTTTTATATCTATTTCCTGTCAATAAGAAACAAAATGCACCCATTGAAACAGATACAACAAAACTTAAAATAATTAAAATACTAGGAGACAAGGAGGCACAGGTTTGACTTTTTCACAATGAACATATATATATTGCTTTTGTATAATAGTTTAAAAAATATTAATAAAAAATGAAGCAAATAAAAAAATTTAAAATCTATTAAAAAATAAACCTTCTATAAGCCATAAACTACCCAAAAGAGCAGTCATTTGCATAATAATCATGTCTCTTACCAATTGCACATAGTTGAGCTGTCTGTTACTCAATTTTTCCAAAGCCTGAAAAGCTTCTCGAGAAATAGGAAATGCTACTCCTTGCAGTGTTTGATGCTTAGTGTCCACACCCACGTCAGTTTGTACCTAAGTATGACAGATTTAATGTACTGATGAAGTTTTAGCATCAGCAGTGTCATGGCAAAGACAGCAACCCAACCTCTACAAAGTGTCATTCCAACCCTTACTCATTTTAGTGTAATTAAAATTAACACTGAAAACACTATGAACTTAAAAATTTGTTAATGTTCTGCTAGCACTGTGTCAACATGCAGAGTACTTGACACATCTCTACAAAAATGTTAGCACAGAATGTTTGAATGTTAGTGGGACTTCAGGGGGTTTTGTATACGTTGGACACAATTGCAGTGAGCTACATAAGCTCTGTAAAATGTCTTCAGATTATACCTTCAATTATAAAATTTTACTTGGTAAAATTTATGAACAGTGTGATATATATACAATATATATAGAACTCTACTTTGTTCTGTTAGACATAAAATGTAACACAAACACCATGCACTGAACTGAAAGGAGTACAAACAGTATACAAAGACACAACACAGTTCAACAAATTATACTACTGCAGAAGTTCCAGACTTAGAGTTTTCATTACTAAGAACATGAGTGTCCATGTACTGGAAGAAGAGAAGATTACTTCAAGAGAGCTTTTGATGCATATGTTTAAGACTTTTATACTCAATAAATGATAGCTAGTACAGGGTCTCATTTGCAGTGTTGCAACAGAAGCCCAAAAAGAAATTTTACTTCAAAAAAATGAATGGAGATTCTACAGCATAAATGATATTGGATAATGAAAACATCATAGAACATATGCAAATGCATACCCCAATACGATCCTCTGGGTTCTGATTGCAAGGAATAAAACAAACTATCAAACTTATAAAAAAAAATCACATAAAAATCCCTACTCACATAATTTGAGTTAAAATAATACAGATTCTTGCTATCATGTTAATATTAAATAATATTCAATCACTTTCCAGATTGATTCCTATTAGTCTGTTACTCAGACTAGGGAATAGTGGTTTCTGCTACTTATTCTTTTCTGTAAATCACAGTAGAAATACAGTAGCTTTTCTAAGTTATAATTAGAACAGCTGCAGTAAACACAATAAAAAAATGACAAACTATAATATGGGTGAAATTTGACTCTAATATGCTAAACAAGTACTCAAACAACCATTTCCCATAAATATATATGTACATCCAAGTAATGTTCAAAGAAGTTAATTTATAGAACTTCTAAAAATCCTAAACATCCTATAGCATTTACATTTTATTTTCTAGTCATCACTATTCTCTGAAATAGCATAATAAAACAAACCTGCTTCAGGCAACCTTGTTAGATATAATATTGTTTTCACTAAATGGGTAACACTTTCTCATTTATTTGGTATCAAAGTATTAAGTTAAAAACAGTTGTACTTCCACAGGAAGAGTTACTGTATACATGATAAAGACAGAAGCAAGCTATTTATGAAACTGACATGAAATTTAATTTTCACTTTTAACTTTGTTTCCTGAAAACACATTGAGCACATAGTCGTCTCTAAACATAATAAATGTAAGCTACCTATCTAACCTATAGATTCTCTCTAGTTATCTCTATATCTATGAATTAAAAATATGATATTTTCAAACACTTAAAATCTTGCAATGGTTTCAAAATGGTAATTTACCTCATTAATTTTAATCTGTCGTAATTCTTCCTCAGCTGCAGTCAATGGGGCAGGAGAAGACTGTGACAGCAAATATTTTTTATATCCATGTAGTGATACATCTTCCTGCAAGCAGAGAAATGCACTCTTATTAGTTATTCTCTAGAAGTCTAAGGTTACTTAGGAAAAGCAAAATTATTAGTTTAACAGAAAAGAAAATATTTTATTGAAAATAAATATTATCAAGAATTTTACTATTTCTTATTTTTTTAACCCTTTATTCTATATATTTCAAAAAAATTTAAGGGGAGTATCTACTCTTCATTTCCTCGAGTTTTATAATTACTAAGTCTTTGGTATTAGTGTGGTGGTAGCAATGCCAGCCACCTGATGAACCTGGTCATGCTTCAAGTCTAAAGGACAATTATAATTAACCTTCTGGGGAATCCTGCCCTATAATTATTTTAAAATCAACATATTCAGATTCTGAATTCTTACTATGATTTATAGAATTTCTCTGTAATTATTCATAGAAAATGATCATTCTTATTTAAAAGAAAAAATATTCCAAAGAGGTCTACTTTTCATCAAATTTGTGGTTTGGAAGACTGAGGATAGAATTGAGAAACTGGGCCACCTCACAATTAATGGTGAACAAGTATTCCCATCTACCTATTGTGCTCTACCTACCAGATTATATTACTTTCTGAATCATAATCAAGCCCTTTTCAAAAGATATATTTCAATTTTCTTAGTTTGTGTGTATACATATAAATACATGTATTCACATATAAATTTTCTAACAAATTCTGTCATAAAATTTAAATATTAATTGATCAACAATAATTATCCCAATTAATTATTAAATCAATTTACCTGTCTCAGTGTTCTGATTTAAATAACATAGTTACTGCTTCCACAATGTGGGTATATATGTCCAACATATCTAAAAATCACTTTCTCTTTCAAGCAGTCTCACTTTTCTGAGCCTATTTCTGCATCGCTATAATGAAAAGGCTGAACTAAATGAAGGGTTGAACTAGATCATCTGTAAGCTACATTCTAGTTTTGAAGTCAAACAAAGGAGATTCCAACATATTTTTAAAAATATAAGTACAATATTTCAGTTAACTTGCATATATGAAACATAGCAATATTTTCTTATTCTTATGCTTACAGAATCATCAATGTGAATTCATACCAATTACTCGTTACCTAGTTCTTCAAGCATGTATAATTATAAAAGCATACATTTTGTACCTTTACTGTTCCAAATACTTCATCTTTAATGTGGCCACCTCCAAACTCCTTTTTCAGAGTTGCTCTTGTTGCTGCATACAACATTTTTTGACGAACCTAGTAAGTAGTGAAAGTTTCCTTAGTAGTTTTCTATCATTACAAAAGAAAGCACTTTCTGAATGTATTAAAATTTCAAGCGCCTTAAAAATAAACTGTGATAAAGCTGAAATCCACTGACTGTACTATGTTAAAGTATGTGTCCACAAATAACTGTCACAACACCAGTATCTAAACTATCAATGGCTAGTAAGGTAGATTTCAATTTATAAGTCATATATTTCAAAAATTGGGAAAATATTAAATTTAAAAAAATTACTCATTTTTCAAAATATAATGAGTTCAAGAATAAAAAACAATATTTTTAAATATGAGGAAGAAAACATTGAAATGAAGCAACCTTGATACTAACATTTTACTAAAAACAAATCCATATTAGATATTACTAATTAAGTTGTTTAAGAATCAAATATTCATGGCATACCTATGGCATATACCACTGTATGAGGGACACATAAATAAAAACAACATATACTATTATTAAAGGCTCTAATAGCATTTACCAAAAACTAAAGATAACTGCCAACCTACAGAAATCATTTCATAATCCTACATGGTCAAATCCAGTACTTCTTTCAGATAGGATATATGGAATTATAGAGAAGGGGATGACTTTTGAGACTGAGATCTACATAACTAAATATTATTTTTCTACAAGAAACAGAATTACTTTTTAAAATATTGGGATGTATCCATATATTAATTTTGTCTTTTGTTCTATTTTGTCAATCTATTAACTAACTTTACTAAAAAAAGTTTGTGTGTATCACTTGAATGGCAGCTATGAAGAATATTTAATATAATGTTCAGTCAGTTCTCACAATTATTACAATTATTACTCTCACACCAAAGTAGTTAGCTTTCTTCTTTAGAGGTCTGTAGTCATTTATAATTGTCACAGTTTTTAAAATTTAAAAATCAGTAATAATTCTACTGATTTCAAGGGCACGACTTCTGAATCTAAGCACATTACTTCTAATTCCATATTCCCAATTCATGGATTTTCTCCACGATCATTCCCTTCTATGGGAAATGGCCATTGCTTTGTAACTTTCTCTTAGCCTAAGAATATTTCAGAATAATATTTTCTAGCATTTAATGATAAACAAGTTACAAAAAAATTACTTACATGAGAATGATCTGGAGACCATGCAATGAATATCCATTCATATCCCTGGGCATTCTGAGAATCTAACCTGAATAATATATAGCATGGTTGTTTGTCCTCCAACAGGGGTAAAACAAAGGAATCATAGTCCTTATCCCAGGAATCTGAAGGCTGACTACATGATCCAATCACAAGTTTCTCTATGAAGAACAATTTTTAAAAGATACATGAATGATATGAAATACCAAATGGTAGAGTAATGAAGAAAAAATTAATGTATAATTATTTCCTAATTATTATCATTCACATCAAAAAGAAAAAGGTTGCAACAAAAAAATTATGATATAAAGTATTAAAACCAGATGAAAAATTTATGACTAGCATGGTTAAAATATGTTATATATAAAAAACACAAAAAAGGACCAGATAAAAATGATCATAAACAGTTGAGGTGGATGGTTGAAGAATGGGTGATTATATTTTATTTTCTAAAATGCTTATGCTATTAAATTATCCACAATAAATTTAAATAAGTGTACTACCACTCAAAGGACCATTTCTGAAATTAACATTGAATTGTACAGTAAGAAATATTAAATAAAACCAGGGTTAGCTCCTATTTGGTCATAATGCTACCAATTAAAAATTTGTCCAGAAGCATAAAAAAAAATTGGTATAGCCACTTCGAGGCACTATTTGGCAGAATCAAGGAAAACTGTGAGTGTACTCTGCTTAGAGAATCTCTTGCACACATATACAAAGGTGTTCACTGAAGCACTATATAGCTGAAACTGAAAACAGCCTAAATGTTATCAATAAGAGAATGAACACAGAATATGTGGCATAGCCAGATGATAAAATTCTATTCATATTTAACAGCAGTTATTAAGAGGAAATGGAAGTATTTGTTATTTATACTTGTAATTTACTTATTTAAATTTTTTTCTCAAAACAAAAATAAAATAAAATCAGAAAATAATGATTTAGGAAACTGTCATTTTCTTTCTGTAGAGATGCTAGTTAAACTTTTCCATTTTAGTTACTTAACTAATCAGTTAGGAAGTGATGGCATTTAAAATTTTAGCTCAGTATTTCTCAAATCTGCTTTACAGTTACGTTTATTCCTGTTGAGTGTGGTAACATAGGTAGAACAACTGCATATTTTTCAAACTATTCTGGTATTTTTAATATGTAAGTAGAAAATGGAAAGCAAATTATATTTACTTCCAGTTTATGGAAGAACAAGTTATTTTTCAAAAGCAAAATATTTCAAGGTATTTAAGAAATTAGGCCAATGGAATATTTTAACATAATCATTTGTGATTAAGTAGTTATATTAATTGCTCAAATTCAAATCTAGTGGAATTAAATGATTCTCCCACTCAACCAATTTTAGCCTGCTAACAGAATTATTGTGAAAGAATCAATTTATACTTTATTACATTCTTAGAACTTTATCCCAAAAGAAGAGGAATCATTTCTGCAGCATAGATTGCAATCACATGGAGAAAATGAGAGCTGGTAATCCTTTGTTTCTACCTCAAAACTAACTTTACTGAATAACAATTCACAAATAACTATTTTTTTGATAATCATCTGTTTACTGATTCCAATTCCAGAGATGAAAGCACTCACATTAGAAATGGATTGTGGCACAGAAACTGAGACAAAAAGTAAAAGAGGAAGACGACACACCAAAAACCAACATCTTTTTCTTTCCCTGACAGTCAACTTCAGAATTCAGAAGGTAAGCAAGGCCCACCGGACATGCCCAAAATGTACAGGATCGAAGTTACCGAAAGGCAGGCTTTGAAATTGCTTCACATTAATAGTTCTAACCACTGACAACAACTTAGAAGTTTAAAAATATAACATCCAATAATCCAGGACAAACAATATTTTTAAATGTTTAACTAACCATTTTCAATAGATATTTTCAAAAGTCTGTATTTTCCATTTCTTGCTCTGGCAAAGACATCTTTAACATCTTCACTTGCTGTGGAAAAAGATAAAGAAACGTAAACCTATTTTTTTATACTTATGTATGAATACTTTCTAATGCTACTTAAGTGAAGAAATATGAATACAAAGAAAAATATGTTGAGTATGTAGCATCTTCTTATCAGTAACTTAAATTATAAAACTTAAGGTAAAACATAGTGGACATTGTATACAGCTAAGAAATATAAATATATTTTAAAAGTATGTTAATATTAATTCTAATTTATTTTAGCTAATTCCACAGAAGACATAACATTGGGAGTCAGTATATTAAATTTACTCAAACCCAATAATGAACAAACTCTGTAAAACACCTCTATTACTTGTTTGAAAAATTTTGAAAGCCTGCTTTCATTCTCTTATAGTCCAATTTCAAGCTTATGATAAACTAAAACACCATCTTCAATTCATTTTCTACATTTTTGCATTAAAAACAGTAAATATCAGACATAAGATTAAAGAAAGTTAATAAAATGCATTCAAACTTATACTTCTGCTTACATTTTTCTAGCTTATATGTCTCAAAAAGCTGGAGTAAGCTCAATGAGCAAATGTATATTTAATAACCTAATCCTTGTGTTCCTATTAAAGCTTCAATTTCGTGCTTGGGTTGCATACTGACATCAAGAACCACTATTTAAGTAGTGCTTGTGATAAGGTTCAGGCATGAATGTCAATAATTACACATATTTAAATGTCAAAACAAACGCGGACAAATAAAACGCTTTTAAGATTTCAGACAATTTTGCTTGTGTTTCTGTGTGCAGGGGCAATGGAGAGTAGTTTCAAAAGCTGTTTAAGAACAAAACACAATGAAGTGTTCAACTAGGGAAAAGATTCGTTGTCTATTAACAGGAGGCGCTCGGGTTTATATTAGAACTCGTTAAGTGATCGCGAGTAACCCCGGGACATATTATTTGTGATGAGGTGAGCTTCCAGACTGCCCATTTTCAAACAAGGAAATAATGGAGGTGAGATATAATTGCACATTCAACTGCCTGCATGGGATGATTAAAGGCAGCCACACAGATCAGACTTTTCAGTTCCCTGGAGGAGTGCCTAAGAAAAAGATCAACACCCTATACTCAGGATTTCTCAGAACACAGTGCATGTTCCCATTTCGGAGGAAAATACGGAAGAGTTTGGGAAGCAACCTTACTGGAAATGAAAAATTTCCAGCATCTTTGTTTTTATAATCAAAGCCCCGTAACAATCTACTTTGGTCCGTTAAAATGAAATTTCTCCCGTCTCTAGACAGCAAAAGGAGCCCCAGTCGCCTCCACCTTTTCCGGTCTTCCCTACCTGATAAAAAGGGGGAAAGTTGGGCTAATGTAGGGGGCGTTGGAAGGCACGCCCCCTTCACCCAGGCCGCCTCGGAAACCAATTTCCTTCGCTCCTGCGAATTTCAGGTCCGTCTGCAACGTGGCGGTGGCCGGGAGAGACGCAGGCCGGGAGCGCCGGGGACACTGGGGCGCGGAAGCGCTGAGGCCCGGCTCGCCCCGCGAGACTGACTCCCCGCGCTCCCAGCCCGACTCTGGCCCTGCCAGGCCCGCAGCCTGCCCGGCTCGTCCGGGGCCTCCCGGGAGTCCCTTCCCCGCAGGCCGCGCCGGGCGCCGTTACCTTGGATGCCGGTCTGGTGGGACATGGCGACGGCCGCGGGCTCCCGGCTCCAGCGCTGAGTGCAGCGAGCGGCCCCGGCCGGCGACTCCAGGAAGTGGCGGCTCCTCCGCCAGCCCCGGAGCGTCATCAGTCTGCGACCAGCGACCGCCCCGCCCCGCCCCGCCCCGCCCCGCCCCGCCAAGTCGACGGCATCTTTGCGCGCCTCCGCTGCGTCTGCCACCTGTGCAGTGTTCGGGTGGCGGGGCTGCAGGTTCACCGCCCCAGGCCCTTACCTCCAGGTCTCTGCCCGCGGTCCCTGCCCTCCGCACTTGTCGCCGCTTCTGCCCTCTTCACCTTGGTGAAACACCACTGAACCAACAGGATGGCTTTGCTTCCGGCAACTCTGCCGACACCGCCGTTCGCTGGTTCGGCAAAAGGATGCTCAAAAACGGAAATGACCATTTTACTGAACGTACACTTGCAGCTTTAAAAGGATGTACACAATATCCTTGGTTTACTCTTCCTGTAATCTATACAATTTAATGTAAAAGGTTACTTCCCGGCCCATTTTTTAAAATGAGAATATACTATAGGCGGTCTCCCATTAAGTTTCCCCACGTTTTTAATTATCAGACTGTCAGCTTGTCTTTTTTCAGTTGGGCGCAGTTAGAAAACAAGTTTTCCTTTCTCTTCATTCCCAAAAGAGACAGCCAGTGCGAGTGAGATTAATTGACGAGTACTCCTCTGTGGTCTGTTCTGCCATGGAAAACTACCATACCGCTCTGCTTTATACTGGGCCGTTTATTGTTTAATCAAGCAATTATTCAATTTACTTGATAAATTTGCAAGGTAACAGCAGATATTATTTAAAATTATTTTCGGTGTTTTGCTTTTATGGATATGTGTTACGTCTTTTAAGGGTAATTTTAATAATTTTTGTACTTTTCTACTAGATTATACTTTCCTAGATAGCTGGGGCTTTTGTTTCTAAAGCCTTGAACTGACAAATATACAAAATTACAATCTGCTTATCAACAAATACTTTGTTTAGGCCAATAATATAAGGGCAAGTTAACAAAAGTCACTCTAAAAATGTATTTTTAATTAGTTACTATTATAGCAGGCAGGCAGTTGCTTTTCTTTACAAGGATCACAACAAACATGGTTGCTATGTTCTGTTTCTTGTTATCTAAGCCCTATTTCTCAAACAGATCCTCATATTCCAGAATAAGCAAAATTTAATCTGAGTTTTATGACTTGTTTGAATTTAAGTAATATAGGGAAGAGTTGCATCCTAACCAAATTCTTTCTGACACAACAGTTCACCCTGATTTACTAGTTTTGACTGCATTGTTGAGCAGAGAAAATTGTAGAGTTCATCTGCTTTTTTTTTTCTTTTTTTACTGATTCATGTCCTAGTGGCTATGGAAGATTGCTTTAGGAAATTGGCACTGCTCAAAAGTACTGGTGAGAAAAAAAAAAACATAGCTCTCCCATATTCATGCTTAGAAAGGACCACTGTATGCTCAGCTCTGACAAAGGGGGAAAGTTCAGTTAGGTTGGGTGGGATCTCTCTGGCATCCTCCGGAAAGTGCTTATTTCTTCCAGGATAATAGTTTGACTTTAAAAAGCTGCATGAACCTTGGGTGCATTATTTCTGAAATGGCAAAAGTTCCTCTGAGCAAAAGTGGGAATCTGAGAAGGGGAAAATATTTGCTAAGCTATAAAGAGCATGGCCAAAATGATCTTTTTTTTACTGTTCATCAACATTTCTACATATAGTTAAATAATTTCCTCTATTTTACTATATTCTATGTACATAAAAAAATGGATTCTTGATGTTTTCATAGGATGTTTTATGAAAATGTTTATGGTTAATATTAATACACTTCAACTCACTAACTTATTATGTATGTTTATTTCAGAATGGTTAAAGTTTGGCATTGTACTAACTTGGGAGAAATGTTTTATTGAGTATATAAAGTGCTTGTGATGCGTATATTTTACCAATTTAAGAGAACAAATTGTAGTAGAAAACTTTCTCCTTTAATCTCTCTTTCTTACATTTTAAATTTGATCCCAATCATATGACTCCTCCCCTTAACTTTTTAAAAAGTTGTGATTAACATACATGTAACTTAAAATTCACCTGGTTGTGCAACCAGTCTCCAGCACTCATTTCACATTGCAAAAGTGAAACTCTATATCCAATAAACAATTCCCCATTCATACCCAACTGCCGGCTCCTGGCAAATAACATTCTGCTTTCTGGCTCTATGGATTTGACTACTCTTGATCCCTCTTATATGTGGAATGACACAGTGTTTGTCTTTTTTGTAACTGGTTTATTTCATCTAGCATAATGTCCTCAAGGTTTATTCATGTTATAGCAAGTGTCAGAATTTCCTTTTTTAAGGATGAATAATATTCCATTGTATGTATAGACCATATTTTGTGTATCCATTCATCTGTCAATGGGCACTTGGGTCACTTTCACCTTTTGGCTATTGTGAATAATGCTGCTATGAATATGGGCGGACAAATAATCTGTTAGAATCCCTGCTTTCAATTCTTAGGGTCATATACCCAGAAGTAGAATTGCTAGATGGTATGGTAGTTCTCTTTTTAATGATTTTGAGGAATCACCATACTCTGTTCCACAGTGACCATACCATTTTACACTCCTACCAATAGTGTACGAGGGTTCTGGTTTCTCCACATCCTTGACAACACTTGTTATTCTCGGGTTTGTTTTTTGGTTCGTATCTATAGTAGCTATCTTAGTGGGTGTGAGGTGGTATCTCATTATGGTTTTCATTTATATTTCCCTAATAACTAGTGATGTTGAGCGTCTTTTCATGTATTTTTGACCATTTGTATATCTTCTTTGGAGAAATATCTATTCAAATCTTTTGCCCATTTTTAAATTGGGTTGTTTGGTTTTTTGATGTTGAGTTGTAGGAGTTCTTTATATATTCTGAATATTGACCCGTTAACAGATATATGATTTGCAAATATTTTCGCTCTATAAATTTCCCATTCTATTGACGGTGTCCTTTGATGCACAGAAGTTTTTCATTTTTTGTAGTCCAGTATATCTTTTTAATTTTTTGTTGCTTTTCACCTTATCTTTAGACTATCTTTGCTAATCTTCTGAATATCTTCTAGCTTTCCTTCACTAAGTTTCTACTAAGTGTTTTATAAATATCATCTACACTTTATATATATATATATATATATATATTATTTCTCACTTCTCACTTCTTAAATCCATGGTTCCCAAACTATATGCTGAGGTGTCCCAGCCACAATGAACTCATTGGACTGCCTGGGGTATATTGCAAAACTTTTTAGGGAAACATCATGATACTTGATGTCTTTTTGACACCACACAAAATACTAGCTCGAATTAGTTGACTGTTTCAGCATTAGATGGCTCTATATTCCTTTCCATAATGTCATATCTTTCCATGATGTCATATCTTTTCAGTGGTTTCTGTGACAAAAGCAACTATGGGGTGAAAATCAATGTGGAACTGGAAATGACAGTGACTGGGGTCAATCTAATTCCAAAATTCCGAAGTTTAAGGTGTTATGTAGTGTGTAATGTTGCATGCATCCCATTAGTGTATAATTATGATTATTTTAAAATAAAGTCAACTATTATTTTTCCATATATATAGATATAGATATAGATATAGATATGGATATATATATATATATATAAAACTTTTTCAAACAGTTACTAAGTTGCTAGTATGTAAATGCTGGTTAAGTTGTTTGGAACTGACTACTTAATAAACTGAACTGTTAAGTATTTCTTTTGACCTAGGAACACCATGAAAAACTTACTGAGATACAAAAAGCCCCATGAACTGAGAAAGTTTGGGAACCTCTCTTTATAACCTTTACATATGGTTTTCTCCACACCACACTATTGAAACTATTTTCTTCAATGTGACTAATATCTTCCTTCTTAATATCAAAATCAATTGTATTAATATTTATTCTCAGGTGTTCTATCAGTTTCCTGTGACTGCTTTAACAAATTAGCACACACTGGGTGGCTTAAAACAACAAATTTATTCTCACAATTCTAGAAGCCAAAAGTCCAAAATCACGGTGTCAGTACAGCTGCCATATACTCTGGAGGCTCTGGGGAAGAATCCTTCCTTTCTCTCCCACATACTTGTGGCTGTTGTCATTCTTTGACTTGTGGCCACATCACTCCCTGTGGCCACATTGCCCCTCCTCTCTGTCTGCGTAAATCTCCCTCTGCCTTTCCTCTTAAGGACACTTGTCTTTGGATTTAGGACCCACCCAGATAATCCAGGATGATGTCTTCAATATCCTTAATTTAATTACATCTGCAAAGACCTTTTTTTCCTGATAAAGTAACTTATACAGGTTCCAGGGATTAGGATGTGGACATATCTTTTGGTGGGTTATCATGCAACCCACTACCTATGTATGATGCTTTTGATATTTTTTATCATTGCTTCTTCTTGACATTCCTTTTTCTCTTTATTTAACACTGCACTAAACAGATCTTCTGCTTAATTTAGCTGGGCCATAATGCCCAGAGGATTATTGTCAAACATTATTCTGGATGCTACTGTAAGGGTGTTTTATGATGCGATTAACATTTAAACTGGTGGTCTGAATACAGCAGATTGTCCTTGATAATGTGGATGTGCCTCATCAAATTATTTAAAGGCTTTATTAGAACAACAACTGATCGATCCCAAAGCAAGAAGGAATTCTGCCAGCAGATTGCCTTTGAACTTGAACTGCAACTTTTCCATGACTCTCCCCCCAAAAGATAGGTCCACATCCTAATCCCTGGAACCTGTGAATGTTACTTATTTGGAGAAAGGATTTACCCATCAGATTTTGAACTCACCAAGTCTCTACAATTGCATGATCCAATTCCTTAAAATAAAGTTCTCTTTCAGTGTTTACACACATCCTGTTGGTTCTGTTGCTCTGGAAAATCATAATACCCTTTAACTCCTCTGTCTTCTTTACCTCAGTTTGTTAACATATGTAAAAAATGAATGCATTATGTCTTGAGAAAATTAGCTCTACTTTAGACTTCAGTTTTCTTTATATGATACCATCACTTAAAAG